TAAAATTAATATTCAAAATTTTATTAAAAAATTTAAATATTAAAAAAATTAGTAAAAATCTTCGCAGGCAAATTTGTTTGTGTTACAATTTAAGGGATAGTTTTGAAAGTAAATATATATCTGTACTGGTATATTTTAATATAATTTTTATGTAAAAAATTTATATTTTCAGTGTAAATATATGAATTTTATGTTTTATATTTCTCATATTAATTCATATCTTTAGTTAATTCAATTTATCTTCTTGTATTATGGACTGTTGGTTAGATTATTTTTTCTTTGCCTTTTTTTGGTTTTTCACAATTGTGTTTAAACTTTTATTATCATCGATAATTTCTTTATGTTTATTATTGTTGTTTATGTTTTTATTATTATTTTTTTTATACACACTTCATATAAGTCGTTATCTTCAATATAATTATCCTTTTCATCTTCTACTCTAGCGTGTCTCGAATTAGAATTTTCTGCAACTAAATTGGTTACAGATTCATTTTTTTTCTATTCATAATTAGATTTGTAGTTTCTAAGTTTTTAAACATATTTATATTAATATTTTTGTATACTGATAAAAGTTTTGAATATACTATTTTGCATAATTTTGTTGTTGTCTAAGAATTTCCTGATTCATAGACTTTTCTTTTCATTCTATAATTGATATAGAAAATATTAACTACATATATATAAAGTTCCTTTTCAATGACTTCTATTTGGTCTACGATAAAAAGCACCAATTTAGTTGATTGGGTAGAATTCATCAGGTGTTTGAATTGGGAGTTAAGATAAGGAAATTTAATTTTAATAATGAAGCTACAATTTTGTCCAGTATAATCTTCAACTAGCATACTAATTATCATATTTTTATTATCAATTTTTGTTGGCATATCACCTACAAGTAAAGCTTTTAAAGAGTATTTGTTTGAGCCAAGGTCTCTTTTAATCATGAGATGGGTCAAAGAAGCGACTGTCATTAAATTTATTAAAATTAGTTAAATATTTATAATTCATATTATATTTAAAATTAGATTTACGTAACTTTTAGTTTCAAGCTACTATTAAAATTTGCAAATACAATTTTACACTATTTGTTCTTTTCAAAAGCTGATTAAGTGTTAGGGTCTCTTTCTTCATTATTTACTAGAATGAATAAAACTATTTCCAGTTTGTAATCTTCACTTTCGATAAGAAAAGTGCCAGTAGTATATATTGTTAATTTAGTTTTATCTCTGTAAGTTTGACAATTTTGATTTATTTTTACAATTGTATTAACATGGCAGGGCATAATAAATTATTTAAATCTTATTATCATTTTTGATTTGTACATTTTAACAATAATTCTTTTATATTTTTTTGAAGTTATAATAATGTAATATATACATTATATGAGATTTTTTTTTACAAATATGAACCAAAAATATTTTAAAAAATCAAAATTAAACTCAATTATATAATTTTATATAATACATAGTAATGTTTTTAGTTTTTATAAACTAAATAAAGTAGATTATTTTTTATTATTATGATATATTGCTGATTTATCCAATTTAAATATAGCGATTAAATAGATTGCTTTATTAGGTTCAATTGAGGTTATAAATATTTTTATAGATATATTTTGAAGTTTCATACTTCAGATCTAGTTTTAAGTATTTTTTTCTTAAGGTCATACGATATTACTATTGAATAGCTAAATTTTAGTTAGATTGTTATTAATAATTTTTTTTATGAATGATGTTAGTGATAAATATTGTAAGATTTTATTTATAGTTTGGTCTTTACTAGAGTAAGAATTTCAGTTTTTTTATATTTTATTTATTTGTTTACACGTTATTATGTTATATGTTGATTATTGTAATAATGATATTATTGCTAATTTTATACCAATAGTTTTTTTTAACTTTATTTTAGTTTTTGTTTTGTATAGTTATTTTAACTTATATTTGTCATTTTTTGTTCTGGTTATTGTTATTTATGTGATTGTATTTGAGAGTTTAATAACATTAAAGATTGTAGAATTCTTAATATATGAAAATTGGATTTCTTTTTTAAAAATTATAAATAAATGATTGAATTTCATTATTTTCACATAATATCAGTTAAAAATACATATTTGGACATTATTATCAATAGTAAATATTGTTCAATAAATATTTAGTCAGTAAATTGTTCATATATATATATACATTTATATATTTGTAATATATTAAATAGTTTTTTTTTTTTAAGTATATAATTTTTTTGATTATTTATATCTGAATAGATTTATTATATTTTAAGATTTATATATTATAGAAGTTTTAATATTTATATAACTATTTATTATTATTTGGACATGGTAATAACCATTTGGTTATTTTTAAACATGTATTGAAACATTCAAGTTCTTTCTTGAGATCACTATCAATAGTAGTATTAAGCTTGAATTGGTTAAATAGTCAGATATATACATATCTTCCAGTCTTTGTAATCGGGATAACATGGTATAAATACTTATATTTACATTTCCACTATTTAGATCAATGATTACTTTTTTTAGTATAGTATCTTTATATTTGAATTCTGTGAAAGCAAAAGCTGGTGTAATTGGTAGTTGTGTCTTTCAATTCTCTTGTTACATTCATTCTATTTTTGATTTTATGTATGTATTTGCATTTTTATTTAATAGCACAAATTGGCACATGATTCAGAAGAAGATTATTATACAAACCAGATATACAACCAAGGAGTTTTGCAATTATCTATTTGGAAAGTTTGTTAAAGATAATATCTTTTTTATTAATTTTTTTATTTTTTGCAATAGTTGATGTATTATTATATACAATTTTTCATAGAATACTCTATACACTATTTACCATTCTATTACATGTGCAGATATTGATAGTTATAGCCACTTTCATATATACTTGTTGGCAAAATTTATGGAATTTGGAATTGGGCTATATACAAACCCAGAAAAATAGAATTGTCTACCTATGCCATATGGCAAAACTGAACAAATTCCAATTCCAAATCCCAAATCCCAAACCTCATCCCAAATCCCAAATTTCATCCCAAATTTCAAATTTCAAATTTTATCCCAAATCCCAAATTCCGTCCCAAATCCTAAATATCATCATAAATCTCAAATTTAAATTCTATCTTAATTTAGTCAAGCTAAAAAGTCTAGTATTAGTATTTTATTTTTATTTTTTTTTATTGCTATTATTTTATTTAATTATTTAATATCATTATTCAAGAAGATCCAAAAAACTCACCAACAATAACCATATTTCACTGACAATTACTTACTAACAAGTTTATTTCACCAAAGCTCATTTTATATACAAAGTAATTCTAGTCAATATCATTAGATTAGATTAGAATTAGAGTTATTAAAGTAGTATAATTTATAAAAAAAACTTAATAGTGAAATGAGCTTTGGTAAAATAGACTGTCAGTAAAATGAACTTGTTAATGAATAATTGTTAGTGAAATGTGATGTCTAAGAACAGGAGGAAATATTGATACTACATAATGCAATATTAATGTTTCCTTTTGTTTCTATAAAGTAATTGTTGGTGAAATAATATAGACTCATATTTACAACTTAGTTTGGTTTAAATTGTCACATATTCATGTAGCTGTGCTAGTCACAGGTCTGTTCTAATAGACATAACATACCGATGATAATTAGTTTCTTTATACCTCTTTATATTGGTTTTTGTAGATGAGAATTGTATTATTTTTTAAAAAATGGATCAACTAATTAAATGCATATTTTTATATATTCTAGTTCTATATATTTAAAAGAATTTTTAAATTGAGTCTAAATTTTGGTTGCAAATAGGGATGGTGAATATTTTAAAACATGAAAATGTAATAATAATTCAATTGTATAGTTTAAATATATAACATTTTGATTACTAAAATTCAAAAAAAAGAATAAAAAATTCTTCAAAACAATATCTTATATTTATGGAAGATCTATTAAAAATTTGTTTATACTTTACAAAAGTTGCTTAATCAAACAACTCTTGCCAAAATTATATTTATTGCAAAGAATACTGTATTGATTTAATTGACCAATTAAAAGATCATTTATTAAAATATAGAAAATTTTCAAGAAATATATATGAATTATTAAAGGCTCAAAAACAGGATTTGGTTCAAGCTAGTGCTTGGCACAATCAAATAATTGTAATTAAATCAGATATCAACTTTTTTGTTTAATTTTGCCAAGCACTAGTTTAAGCTCTACTTGGAAAGAAAATATTTAAAAATTAAAAATTTTGTTTATATAAAATATATTAAAGTTTGGGATTTTGGTTTGGGTTTAGGATTTGGGATTTTGCCAAAGTTTGAGATTTAACCAAAGTTTGGGATTATGCCAATTTAATTGAAATTTTTTCAGTCTGGGATTTAGATTTGTCTATTTGGAATTTGGGTTTGAATAGGATTTTAAACATTTTTAATTTTGCTAACAAGTATAGTTTTATACTGATAGACAAAGGTAATATACTGCACAATGTGTTCGATTTTATATCTAAGACACTTAAAAATTTCTGTTTTATATTGCTATAACCAGATCTATTTTTATATTTATCTTCAGCACAAATATAATAAACAGGTTGATAGTGGTTTTTTGCATATTTTATTGTAGCTTCAAAGTTAATTTGTATTTGTAGATCGTTTCTTCTAACTAAATATAAAGCATTTTTCCATTTTGGTAAATTTATTTCTTCTGGTGTTATTATTTGATTGCAAAGTGCTTCCTGCTGTAATGTTGTTAGTTGACCATAATATAAATTATTTAATATATTTGTATATTCTAAATCATTAATCTGCCACATTTGTTTTTCTAAGATAATCATATGTTTTACTGATTTCACAATTCTCTGCCACTAGTATTTATTAGCACATAAGTATCAAATCAATTTATATTTTGTGTCTTACTTGTCTTAGTTTTATTAATTTTAGCAAGTTGAAATAATGGCAAATCAAGTATTGAAGAAAGCTCCAAAAAAAGTACTTTAAAAATGTTGGCAAATATAGAGTATCTTATTATAGATAAAATATTAATGATAGGGCAAAAACTTTTATCACAATTTAATACACGTGTTAAAGAGTCAAAATGTCTTCAAGATAATACTATCTCTTTTGCTGAATTGAATATACTTTTCAATGGAGACTTTATGCAGAAATCATAATAATCATTATAATTAAATTTAAAATTATATAACAAATAAAGTATAGAACTGTTAATATTTGATAATGCAAAGCCTGTTGGTGTACAAACTTCAAGACTTTGTTTTTGACTATTACAATTAAAATATTTACAAATAGCCTTGATAATTTTTGATTTTTTGGTGCCTTCAGCACTGCCCAAGTATATTAACAACTGGAATAGTTTGTTAGGACTATTAGGGTAATTTCGATTATAGTGATAACATACAAGTATAGAAATTTGCTTTTGTTCATCATTCAGTTTACTTAAAATGCTTTGTAGTAGATTTATTTGATTTATAGCTATTGTTGTTTGCATGTTGCTTGAACTTTTTTTAGTATAATTTTTTGTTATTGATTTAGATATATTGTCTTTTTTAAGTTCATGATTGTTAGTTAATTTTTTTATTTGTTTTTTCAATTTTATAGTTTCTTGCCATTTCTGAATTAAATTATTATTATTTTCATGTAATAGTTAAATTTGACTTTTGTAATTATTATAGGTTAAATTATCAGTTTCATTTTGATTTTTTCCTGTGTTTATTTGTAAAAAATAAATAGAACATTGCATTATCAATGAATTTTATATTATGCAGCCCAGAATGCATAATTATATATAGATTTAGAGGATTTAAATTATTATCATAAAAATTATTTTGATCAATAAACATTTCTATATCATCACATTTAGTATCATAACCAATTACTAACCTTTCTATTTTTCAAACTTTTGCAATTTCAGAGTTCTCATAGAATATTTGATATAATT